ACAAAGGTGGGGGGGGGAAGAAAAAAAAATACCAACCTGTGCCCAGCCAGACCAAAGCAGAGGTTATTTAGCAGGCCAGTAGGGAGGTTTTAATCATCCCAAATGTCCTGGGCCAGTTTCTTCTTAATAGTAATTTATAGCCCTTAGCACTTTTACATGTTCTAAGCATTTCGTTGAGGGCTAGGAGGCTGGGACTGCTTTGGAGCAGGAACTGGCACTGCATTCTCGCCCAAGCCCAGCAGTGGTAGGAGTTCAAGGAGCAGGCTTTCCACAGCCTGCCCTTAGTCACTGCTGCGCCTGCCCGCCTACCACCGTCTTCCAGCCCCCAGTTTTCCTCTCAAAAATAGAGTATGTCTCTTGCACAGACTTGCTCTAAAACTGCAGCCATCGAGCCGCTGGCCCAGGGAGGGTGGCTACTTCACCAGCAGCTACAGCAGATAATCACCACTGTCAAGCAGGGGAGCTAAGTAGGGAATTGGTCCCATTTCACAAATGGGTCAGCTGTCACAGAAAGGATAGCTAACTGGTACAGCTGGGAACACAATTCTCAGCTCCAACTTTCTCTTCCTGGCCTTACGGTGATATTTCCAGAGCATGGTTGAGACTTCAGCATGTTCAGAGAGGCCAAGAAGATAAAAGACATCCTGATCCTCTGTACTATCAGAAATGCTCCTCAGTTTGGATTTGGCTTGTGCAAAATGCAACACAAGAAACCCAGCTGGGTCTGTACCACCCCTAAGTCTAACCTCTGCTGGGTTTATCATCACTGTAGCTTTTGATATCATCTACATGCATTGCAGGGCTTTAATCTGGGTCTAGGACCCACAGTGGCACACAGCAAGCTGACCCTCCGTGCAGAGGCTGCAGCAGAAAGATGGACTTTGCAGGATGTTGCAAGACACTGGGTGATATGCCCAGCTGAAAGATGAAGTGAAAAATGCACATCCGCAATACCGATACTGCTACTGCCCCTGTGGTCCTTCCCCCTTCCTGCAACCTGCCCCTGGGGACTGTGTCGGTGCTCCCCTTTGCACTGCTGCTGCTGCAAGGGACTGAACGGTGGGAGCAGACACCCAGCTGTGGCAGCAGCAGGGAAGATGCAGGAGGGAGAGGTGGGGAAATGTGCTGGAGGAGATGGTACCCATCGCCTCCAAGAAGCTCAGAAGGTTTGAAAAAAACTGGTTCGCATATGGAACTGAAACTGAACCAAAGGGAATTCACTGAGAGCACTAAGTGGTGGCCACCAGCTATTTAAAGCTTCTTATGCATCTGATGTGCAGCTGGGCATAAAGAAAGGGTGTGCTTGCAGCTTGCACAGACATACCCGTGACATCTTTAGAACAAGGCTTTTGAGCACTGCTATATACAGCTGCGGCAGCCAAGAGGTCAGCATAGGCTAGAAACCACCCAAGAAACCAGGGAATAGCTGGGGCATTTGATGAAGGAACAGGGCATGACTGGTGCCCCTATCAGCCCTAAACAGCAAGCAGGACCAGAAACAGGGAGTTTAAGATTATTTCAGGAGCAAGCAAGACTGGACAGGAACTGCCATCATGGTCTCATAGACAGACACACAGAGCTATTACACAACCTCCAGAGAGGCTACCCACTTCTCAGCAAGACTGCAAACTAGCTAAGAGATGCCTCAGCATGGAAACGACCCCTATAACATTCCTGTTTGGTCCTTTATACAGGGCAAGTCTTCCTATACCATACCTCAGTTCCCAGGAAGGTCCAAAGCCAGAGCTGTGAATACCTGCAGGCACCAAAGGAACTTGGGTCCTCCCACAAATAGGGCTCCTGGCTGGTGGCAACCATACCCATGGCTTGGGTTGTCCTGTTCTTCCGCCCTCCATGTTCAGATGGATCGTGCCTAAAAGCATCTGCAATCTTATTTCATCAGTGCTGGCCCCGCCATGAGTTTTGTTTTCAGAGCATGGACCACATTTTAATAGAGAGCAGAACATCTCAAACACCTTATTTCCCAGCAGAACACTTGCAACATCTGTGCAGCACTCTCCTGGCAATGTCTGCAGTTACTTATGTGGAAAAGTCCCATGAAAGAAGTGTTTTAGCACTGGACTTTGGTTTGGTTTTTTTTTTTTCCAAACTCAATTTGACAAGACAAACCAGTGCTGCAAATGTCAGAGGCCCTCTGACAGGCATTTCCAAGACCCCTACCTGGCTCTGAACTGCTGTTTAAGGTCCTTCACATATCATCTTAACCCCTCTCAATGCTCCTCCCTGGGAACCTGTCTCTAGTGCCTGATTGCTCACGACAGAGATGGTTTTTCTAACTGCCTAGCCTGAATTTGGTTTTATGGTCCTAACGTAAGGCTTTACTACTCCAAGATAATTAGAGAAATACCCTTCCTTTGCTTATATTGTTCCCTTGAAGGTATTTGTAGGCAGAACATTGTCCCTGCTGAA